TGGATCAGTGGAGCAGCACATGCTTTGTTTGCAGGAGGCCCAAGGTCCAGTCCCCAGCATCTCCTGTTGAAAGGATCATGTAGCTGGCAGGTGATGCTGAAGACCTTGACCTGAGACCCCTGGAGAGCTGTTGCCAGAGCAGGCAATACTGACCTCAAGAGACCAGTGGTCTGGCTTCTTATAAGGCAGCTCCCATGTGTAAATTCAGCAGTGCTGCTGATTCAGGTCTTTAATTCACCCAAAGAACAAATGGGAAAAAGCCACTATTAGCCAGTCAGCGAGTACAGGATATCAAGGCCCCTGAATGAGTCAGCGCAGTATAAAGATTTTCAACAAATAAAATGGCATTAAGTAACCTTGCATATGCATTTTTGAAAGATCTGTTCACATATCTCACTACACATGATATACTACCTGCAAACTTAAATTATTGCTGTGAAGTTTTTGTATGATTGCTGGATGGGAAAAGACAATGATTGTAATTCTCACTCCTCTATTTCTGCAGACTAACGTTCTTATGTACTGTATCTTAGTGGTAATGCTGTTTCTCAATGATTTTGACTTAGTCTTTAGAGTGTTATTGAAACGCACTTCTATGTTGTTGTATCTTTGTTAACGGCAAAATAAATAAATAAAATTAGGGGGGGGGAGAAAGATCTGTGGGCGGGCTTATCCCTCCTTTAAAATCTGTGTTGTCTAAAGCAATTGCCAGAAGTAGGCTGGACAGATCATGTGGATTATAAACAGCAGTCATCAATCTCTCTCTCTTCAACAAGCTGTTATTTTTCCGCCCTTTAAGTTGCATCTGGAACCTTGACTTGTGTGATGGGAATGAGATTCTATAATTCCAGGAAATTCATGCCTGCAGGGCTGATTGCTGGTGCCAGGTAAGAAAGCGGAGCCTCTTCTCCAGTTATTATGGTTTGATGTATTGTTTGGTTTCATTAACCAGGGAAAATAGCTAAACAGAAGACATAATTTGTTGTGTGATGGTGACATCATTGGCTGAAATTACTCCTGTCAGGCTGGTACCAATGTTTACCAAAGTGTTGCTTTGTCTTTTAACCTAACAGTCTACTAATGGTGGGGAGGCTGGGACTACAGATGATGGAGAAGCCCCTTCAGCCATAATTGCACAGCAGACGAGAAGCGAGAGACACAGCCTGGAGAGACTTGCTGGACAGCCAACTTGAAACAAGCATCTGACTGTATTTGTGTTCGTTTGATACCAAAAGTTCTTGATTGCCTAGCCTCTGGGAGGAAAGGAATGAAGCACCGGAGCAGAATGTTGCCACATATGCTGATTGTCCTCTTTACTGGCTGCCAGAGCACAATGATATAGCTATAGTTTTTTCTTCTCAAAAACCTGCACATTACAAATTTCACGCCACGGATTTGATAATTTTAGGACTGTGGGGAGGGGAAGGGAAGGGAGACAGAAATACCCAATGGTGCTAATGCCTGTCAGGAAACATACTTTGTAAACCCATTTTTATTCTTCTTGCTGCCGCTCCCCCCCCCCCCCCCCCCCCGCCCCCCCCAATGTGTGTTCCTTTTTCTAAACAGAAATTTTGGATTTTCTATACAAGGACATGTTAGCCTTTTTAAAAAAACCCTCCTGATGGGGCTACAATCAAGGATCAGAGGCTTCATCAAGTAATCCATGTCAAGCTGAGTGGGGCTTGTTTCTGAATAAACGTGTGTAGGACTGGGCTGTATGCTGTGAAAATGCTTTTCTCTAAAATCAAGTGCAAATTTGCTAAATCTCTGGGGGAAGAAGCCATGACGTACAAATTGTCTTTAGATCAATGACTTATTTACTAATAAATATAATTTCAATCAGTTCAGAAGTCTTCATTTAGGGCTAATGACAGGGTTGTGTCTGTGTGTATATATAATATCTACATACATATAAAATATACATAATCAACAGTAAAGTACTGGGTTTCCCCTGGGCAAGCATTCCTCAAAGAACAGACTGAAGACTTCCATTAGGATTCATTACAGACCACAGTTTTCAAGAACAATCTAAAATTCTATGGGCACTTTGATATAATTAAAGTACATTCCTTACCACTGGTTTCTATCATTGGCTGGTGATTGTCAGGGAGAAAATATCATGATATTGCAAATCCAGTTGCACTAGGCATTATGTAAGGGGAACTTACACAGAATTGTTATTGTTGGTGGCAGTGCCATTTTGTATAAAGACATTCAAGTCTAAACTTGGGACATTAGTAAAGTGCAGGTTTGTAAAAAAATGACTTTTCTACTGTTAGACTACTGTCGTCTTATACTCCTTAGATTACTTTATTGTGAAGTAAATAATTTTCATTTGAAAAACCAGCCCAAGTGGGAAGGTAAGTTACTTAATTTTTACTAGCATAAGAAATTTAAACATACCTACAAGACAACATTTCAGTAACATTCTGATGTCTGTACTCAGAGACTGGAAAAAACAACATCATTTAATATATGGGAGCAAAAATTGTCAGTAGTACAGCATTAGTCTGATATTCCTGTTACTTTGCATAGGGATAAAATATTACTTATTGCCCTTGTGGTTCCAGTTAAAAACAAGGTTTCAACCTTAAACACACTTAAACACATAAGTAAACCCTACTGGAAAAAAATCAAGACAGACAAGCATTTCCCACTGAGCCCTAATTCAAGCGTCAACCAACCAATAAATACTCTACAACAAATATACATTTTTTAAAAATTAGTAAAATACATACAAAATAGCCTTTGAACAAATTTTTAACATTTTTAAAACAACATACAATACATTCTACTTTTAAAAGTTTGGATTGTCACCTTTAATATAACAAATATTACAAGATTTAGTAGCTGAAGAAGCATAAAGCTCGGAATGGAATGGAATGGTCTCTAGCATTTTAGCACATCCATTACAAACAGAAGTGTCTTGAAAAAGCACATAGATTTTGGGGCCACTTTGTCATTTATGGCATATAGAAGGAAGGTGCGATATTTGTCCCAAGTGGCCAGAATGGAGCCTTAAGAATAAACATCTGGTATAAGAAATTCCTTTGGGAACTGCAGGGAATTCTATAGTTCAGCTTTGGTTACCAAGGGAAGGCACTACAACTGGAACAAACCAGAACACAGAACTAGCAGCTCAGGCTTCTTGCGGATTATTGTGATGCTACTCCAGAACTCCCCTCCCATAAAAAAGAGGAAAATGGTAGAGCAATGGTTTGGGAACAGAGGGCAAGCCAGTTGAATCTCACTGCCTACAGAGATTAGAGCTATATCTGTAACGACATTTAATTTCCAAACTTGGCAATCATGTTAACTGGCCCTCTGTGCAGGAAAGCATGGTTCTCCGACACCATTCATAGGCTACGTTACCCAGTCAGAGGATCACACCTGCAGGCAATCTCCATTAAACTTTCAAGCCAAACCAAGAGCTCTGTGCATGCATTAGAACTCCTGTCCTTATGCTCACATGCCGCTTGCACAAGGAAAGGCTTCACCTTTCATTCAAGTGCCAAGCAAAGCCGAAAGAGCTGAGCATTTATTTAGATGCATATGAGGAGTCCATTACTGTGCACGAAAGTCTGTAGATCGAGATCAAAAAATTGTCACACAAATCCCTTTCTTGCCCACTCAGGGATTGCACAGTCACAAGAAACGCTGAGTACGGGTATGTCTACATTCTCAAAAGTAGCTTCATGCTTGCAGAATGGGGCACGGAACTGGTGCTCAGGCTTATACCGCCTTCCTGAAATGATTATTTTACTGATCTCGTTGATTACCTCTTGATTCATTCCCTAGAATCCATACCAGGATGGGCACAGCCCAGCTCAAAACAAAAGCAACTGAGTTCAATTTAGGCTGCGGTCTGGTGCTCATCAGGCAATGCTGCATACAGTTCTCTTCTGACCAATAAGTCTTGTTCCCACGGTTCAATTTGATATACCAAAAAAAAAAAAGTTCCCAAAGTAACACCTACTTGGAAAAAGAAGATCATCTCTCGCCTGTCTATGTAAAGTGAGATACCTAGAGTTGCCCAGTGGTTAAGACACCAGTTTGACATGTTCACGTCATTTAAAAATATTTTTAATGAGGAAAAGAAGAGATGGATGCAACAACAATGACCATCCATCTAGTAGGAATTCAAATACTTATTACCTTTGGCAAGTTGCTTTATGGAATACTTTGTAAAAAAAAAATCCTACCGTAGAGAAACTTATTCTGAAGAATGCTTTCTAAATAAAATATATTTATTATTGTTTCTTTCCCCTAGAGGTAATAAATTACACGCTCTCAGTTCTTACAGGAATTGATATTTCAATTGTAGAAATGTGTTTTAGTGTCCCAGAATAAAAAGGATGGAAAGAATGTAACAGTCGACAGCAGAAGGATATGCTGTTTGAGAAAGCACCTCTACCGATGTCCTCCATACTTGGCCATCCAATCTGTTCTTCCGTGTACTGGCTGTACGGGCTGGGGCCGAGTCAAGATGTTAATGCCTTTGGTGGCTGGGTTGTAAGTAGTCCCTGGTAACTGAGCACGGCCGGCTTTTGTTTTCCAAGCATATTCCAAAGAAAAAAAGAAAACATGAAGTCAGTACAAATCAGAGTAATTAAATTGCTTCTCTCATTGCTAAATGGATTTGATTAGGATAATCTGTAACCCCTGATAATGAATTCTGGTGTTCACAAAAAAGGAGGGAGGGAACAAAAAGAGTGTCTAATTATGCTAAAGTGATAAGATAGGCTTCATTACCAAAGGCACAAGAAAATGTCTACTCTTAAAAAAGAACAGTTATACAATAGTATGCTTATATGCATGACCAAACTGCTTCTAGAGAAGGTCTTTCACTTAAAGACAGCTAGGCTATCTCAATGCATAACCATCATCATCAGTATTATTATTATTATTGTTGTTGTTGTTATTGTTATTATTATTATATAATCTAGGCTGCCCTCCCCTGCAAATAGGACTCAGGGCGGCTTACAACAGAGATATACAATAAATATATAAGTTTAAAAATTTTAAACCAAGAAAAAAAGCAAGAGTCCCGATTAAAATTTATGCTGCCAACTGATAAGGAATCCCTGGAGCTTTGAATCTATGATCTCCCATTGTAGGCAGGGCCTCTGGTGGAGTGCCATGGCCAGGGATACAGCCAAAGAATGAGCTTATAAGATCACATGATTTGTTGTTACCTTTGGAATGAGATCCAGATGTGTGGATAATGAGATCATCTGCATCTGCTGAGACAATAATCACAAGCCCAGAGAGCTACTACAGGCATGGTCCAGAGCTTAGGCTAGCCTTGTGGGGCACATGCATACGTGCATGTGTGGTTTTGCCATAGGACCAGAGCTGGGGGAGATACTGATTGGAAGACAAAGATGGCCCCTCTTACATGCATAGAGCTAGCCATACGATTCTCTAGAACATGGTGACTGAAACCCAAATAAATGATGAACTCCCAACATCAGACCTTGCATTAAAAAAATCTTCCTAAACATTCATACAGTGAAAAATCAAACAGTGAAGCTTAAACTGAACGAGAGATCAATTGTTTGTTACTGCTCACAACCACTGCAACATCCCTGTTTGCAGAAGACAATCTCCATAAGTAACATGAACTATGTCAAATATACCCAACTCATGTTAATGACAAACATTAACCATTCATCTATCAACATGATGAGTGTGGGGGGGGGGAATGCTCTGAAATGTTATTTAGCCAGCTCCCGCAATACCATGAACATGCATTTCAAAATGGCCACTAATAAGCGCTGAAGCTAAATGCCAAGTAAAAGAGAAATGTTTTTATAAGGACTGAGGAAATAATACTTGAGAGCGGCTTTACCCTGGAAGTCTGATGAACCTTTGCAAAATTTTTACTATAACCTTAGCTTAGTTAGAATGGGCCATCGCTGGGAGCTGACAAAACCTGGTTCTTGCCACAGCCTTGGTCAAACAGTCCTGTTTACATCACTTGAGGATCTGACCCTGATCTTTAAAGAATGCACAAAGGATAAAGGAATCAGGAAAGTTTCATACTGCTTTCCGACTACACTGCAAGCAAGGTAGCCTTACCTGTGGCTGATGGCCCAAGCGGTGCCAGCTGTATCCTCTGACCAGCTGAACCAACTTCGTTTTTGTGAAAGGAAGGGATATAGCCTCCAGGGGCATTGTAGGCAGCACCTACAAAGCCAGCATTTCCTGTCAGTAAGTACAAGGTTTTAGAAGTTTTTCAGGGGGAATTCAGACAGCACGTTCTTATCAATACTCAGATGACCTTTTTGAGAGTCTAAAATCTTACAGAAGCCTCTAAACACAGGGGTTTCTTCCTTTTGCATCCTGGTTCACCTCAGTTAGAGATCCAGTTAGATTTTTGCACACTTACTGCCATAGTTAAAGAGTCCAGACTACACTGGGGAGGGCTTACAAAATTAGATGTTCCTCCCTACAAAACTACACAGAAAACCAGAACCAAGGGGAAAGACTCTAGCCTATACTTTTCTCTGACATGCTCATTTTCTACACGATGGGGGGGAAGTGTATGGAAAAGCATATAAGAAACCATTGTCAAAAGAGGCAGCTCTTTCACCTGCGTGAAGCTTTTCTCTCACTAAGATCATCTAAGACTACTTTCCCACAGTGCATCACAGCCATGTCCAATGTGGCCCTGATGTTATACAACTCCTTCCCAGAGGAAACCAACTACTAGAGGCCAACATTAGCATTTATTTAACTTTCAATTTGTCCTGCATGTCATTCTGTCCACAGTTCCAATCCCCCAAATCATTTTTTCATCATATAACATCAGCCAACACCCGTCACCCCTACCTCAAACCTGTCTTTTAAAATCACAAAGAGTAGTTTATAACATGGTACACAAAGAAGGGTGGATGTGGCAGTTTAGAAAACAGTCCAGTATGAGTTCAAAGTTTTTTTCTTTGTCAAGGCCAGAGCATTTGTAGCAGGTTTACTAATGCAGGTTCAGTATGTTCGAAACCGACCGCAGTTAAGAGCAGGGAAGACTTTCTGCGACACAGCAGTACCACTGGACAGAAACCCAACAGCAAATGGAATGTTACAAGCAAATCTCGGTGGCATCTATCTAGAGTACATAATGTCTATTCCACTTGTGAAGCAGGGGCCAGAAAAATACAACTCTGGAAGCACTATATCCTGAGAGAGGCAGAATGGAGAAATCACTTTTGGCAAAAAAAAACACAAAAATGTTAACCCAGGGTGAAGGGCCATCTTGTCCTTATGAAACTTACTGCATGTGGGGGTAGAGCACACAGTTCTCCCACTCTGCATGCTGAGGTGATGGGCACTTAAAAAGGCAGTCTTGTATGACAAAACAACTCCGAGCTAAAGTTTCAAACAGTTTAGAGCCCTGGCCAGAAGTGCCAAGGTTCGCGGCAATCCCATTTGTGAGGAGTAATGACTGAACATCACAGTGGAGGAGGGGACCTATGTCAATCAGGTCTTCCTCTACTGGTAAAGTTACATGCATTCCCTTCCAAAGGTCCAGAGGCTGGAAAACCACACCTTCCTCGGCCAATATGGGGCAATGATGATGCAGTGCGAGCATTTGGCTTTCACTCTGGCAATCACTTTGGCTCGCATGGTGAAAGGGCGGAAGGCATAGAATCCCCCACTGCCACCAGAGTTGCAATGCATCCCCAGTGGTGCCCAGGTCTGATGCCACCAGTGAACAAAAGACAGAACACCTGGCATTCACTCAGGATAGAAAGAGGCTGATTCCCGATTAGCTCCACTCATGAAAGGCTGGGTGTAGGTACTGCTCATTGATAGACCATTTGTGATCTGAGAAAATCTTCCTGCTCAGTTCATCTGCCATGATGTGGATTGCCGGAAGGGAGATGTTTCTTTGACTGGCCCAATGCCATTGTCAGGAGGACCCTTTTGCCATGCAGGAGTGCTGCAAAAGACGTGAGAGCATCTCTCATGACTCTGAGTTCCAGGAGATTAACACGTAAGGCAGATTCCTCTTCAGACTAGTGGCCATTCACAATTTAAGAACCACAATGAGCACCCCAACTGCACAGGGAGGCATCCGAGAACACCTCTGTTTCATGTGGATGGGTACCATATTCACAACCCTTGAAGAGATTGGCATCTTTGACCCACCAATGGAGGAACGAGGGCTAGACCTAAGAATTCACAATGTTAACCACGGGGGATTTACATTAAGTCTGAATCTGTGGATAAACCAGTTTTGTGTGGAGTTTAACGTAAGGCATCACAGCCATGCTGGAGGCCATAAAGCCAAATAGTGTCTGGATATACACTGCCTTTTGGAACCCGTGAGTAGAAAAACACACCAATAGTGACTGGATGGCCTGAGCTCTCCTCTACACGGATAAGCAAGGACAACTCACTGGGTGCGTTCAGACGGGGTGTTTCAGCCGGCATAAACTGTACCAGTTGGAACCGGTGCAGTTTATGCCGGCTGAAACGCGATCACACTTACCTCCTGTCTGCGGAGCCCATCGCTGTATGCCCGTTCACATGCAGCGGGTGTCGGCGTTTTTTTTATTTAAAAAAGCCATCCACAGAATGGCGATCTTTGCGCATGCGGAAAAAACCCCATCTTACATTTAAACTTTAAAGGTAAGGACTTACCTTTAAAGTTTAAAGACCAAACTGGCCTCCCTGAAGTCCCAGACTCCTCCGAAACATTAAACTAAGGACCTTTTCTTTCTTTTTTTAAACAAATGCCGGGCCGAAGCTTCGCCCAAGCGCATATCGCCGACCTTTAAAAAAAATGGCGGGGGGAGAAGGTAAAGACCCAAGTTTCGATTCAAAAAAATGGCCGGCGAAAATCGGACGCCTCAGGCTTCCAAACGGAAGTGGCTCTGCAACGGTGAGTGCGGAGGGGGGGGGGGGGTAAAGCGATTACAACCGTTGTACTCAGGATACCACCACTTGGGGACCTAGTGGCAGAATACAACGGTGTAAAGCTCTTTGCAACCGTTAGGGACGGAAGGCAGATGTTCGCCGTGTGAATGCCAGTACGTACACCGATTCCAACCAGCACCTATTCCGTTGCAAATGCCCCGTCTGAACGCACCCACTGAGTCTAGCAGGGCCCCGATGAATTCTAAGGTCAGCGATGGTTGAAGCCAGGATTTCTCCCAATTAATCACAAAGCCCAATGACCCCAGGGTCTCAATGGCAAGCTGAACATGTTCCTCTAGGGCCTCATTGATGTGTCAGCTAAAAGCCAGTCATCAGTCGAAGATGGGCTACTGGGGCTGACAAGCTTTTAGTATGTACCCTAGGAGCCACAGCAAGCCTAAAGGACAGAACCGTATACTCGTAACATGTGTTACCACACTGGAATCTCAGGTATTTCCTACATGATTGATCTACAGAGATGTGGAAATAAACATCCTTTAAGTCCAGGACAGCCAACCACATAGCAGAATCCAAGAGAGAGAAAGAACATCATGCAAAGATAACCATCCTGAACTTTGCAACACTTAAATGTCCAGAATGTCCTCTAAGGTCCAGAATAGGCCTTTTTCCCTCCACTCTTCTTAGCTATCAAAAAGTAGCTGCAGTAAAACTCAACTTTAACACTGACCTCAGGAATTTTCTGAATAGCACCTTTCCCCAAAACATCCAACACCTCCTCAACCAACAAGGGAGGTGGAGTGGGTGAGGATGCCCATCACATTAGGGTGTTCCCTTTAAGCTGCTGTGGTTTTCATACTCTTACTGACATGCATTGGGAACAGTAACAAATCAATACAAAATCGGACGCAAATCTCCAACATGTAATCAGCTTCAATAGCTTCAGACTTGCAGCGGGACCAGCAGCATCTCCCTGATGAAGGATGAACTTTGAAACGTTGGTATCAAACATCCGGACACAATATCAAATTATTTAGTAGTTCTCCATTGTTTATACATTGTAGCACATACCAGTTCTCTACTTAGCTACTTTGGATACATTATTCTCTATTACATGTTCTTCAGCTTTTTGGCCAATTGTAATTGGTGAGTCTGTTAACTACACTTGTGTTTGCCTTTTATTACCATTTTATTATACAATAGTGTAGTAGTGAACATCATAGAGAGAGTGTGGTCTGTCCAAAAAGTACAGGATGCCACTTAGTCCTGCGAAGGGTTGATCCTGACCAGGTTGCTCCCAAGGTGAGCTTGGCTGCTGTTTGTTTCTTGGTTTCCTTTGCTGCTTCCTACTTTGGCAATGAGGGGTATAGAAGAGACGTAAGATTGTTGCTGTTGCTGGGTGGGTTGTTATTTATAAGGTTTTTGCTATTGATAACTATGCCTAGAAAAATACCTGTACTTGAATGGTGGTACCTGAGGGGCCGTTATCCCCAGGGATTTAGTTGTGAGCTTATTCTTGCACATTCTGTCCACTGCGCTGGCTGTCTGGGAATGAAAGAACCCCTTGCCTTCAAAAGGCCTGTCTTTTACCTTGGCCCTCTTGTCATTAGGTAACACCAAAGATCTCAGCCGAGCGTGTCTATGTGGTGCCACTTCTGAAGCCTATGTGCAGCAGTCAGATGCATGCCGAGAAGCATTTGGTTGCTGCTTCCCCAGTTTACCTCACTCTGTGTGCATCACTTTAACAGGAGGGTGTTTTTTTAAAAAAATCACTGGGCAGAAGGTCGATGTACTGGGGCCATATGGTCCCAGAGGAATATTTGATACCTGCCTGTTATGGCTGTGAAACTGGTAGCCTGAAACCCAAGGCCCTGGGTGAACAGATTTTTCTCCCCAAACCATCAAGCTTATGCTCCTCTTGGTCTAAAGGAGAGGAGTGAGACCCTGCCCTTTGCTTAGAGGGTAGGACGTCTGCCACCAGAGAACTGCCTGAAGCAGAACAGCTGAAACAGAAATTCACACCCCTCTTCCTAGATGATGCAGGGGTTAAAGCTAGCTTAGCCAATATTCCAATGACCAAGAAGCCCTGAAGCCCTGGAAAAAAATTTTCTCCACCCCATGCATAATTTTATAAACCTCTACCATCTTCCTCTTCAGTTGCTTTTTTCCCAAACTGAAAAGCCCCAGGCACGTTAGCCTTTCCTCATAAGAAAAGTGTTTCAACCAATGTTCCCTCTAAGCTGTGGAGTCCTGTGAGCAAAAAATTCTACTTTGTGAGCAACTGGCATTAAAGTTGTAAGCGAGCAATTTGGCGACTGCATAAATTAGTTTGTTCTGGAGCCATCCTTCCTGAACTAAGACAAAAATGTGTGAGCCAGAGGCTAAAAAACAGTGAGCTAGCTTACACTAACTCATCTTAGAGGGAACACTGGTTCCAACCCCTTAAGAAGAAGAAATTGGATTTATACCCCACCCTTCACTTGGAGTTTCAGAGCGGCTTACAATCTCCTCTCCCCACAACAGAGACCCTATGAGGTAGGTGGGGCTGAGAGAGCTCTTTCGATAGCTGCCCGTGAGAGAACTGTGGCTGACCCAAGGTCACCGAGTGGCTGCATGTGGAGGAGTGGGGAATCAAACCCAGTTCTCCCAGATTATATAGTCTGCACACTTAACCACTACACCAAACTGGCTCTTGATCATCTTGGTTGCCCTCCTTTGTACTTTTTCCAGCACTGCAAAATCCACTTTGAGATATGACGAGTAGAAGTGTACACAGTATCCCAAATGAGGCCACACCACAGATCTATACAGGGGCATTAACAATACTGGCTGTTTCATTTTCAGTTCTTGCACTAATAATCCCCAGCATGGAGCGGGCCTTTGTCACTGCTGCCACACACTAAATTGAAATTTTCATCAAGCTTATCACTCCTATATGTCTCCTCCTCCATCCTGGCCAGTTGCAACACCATCAGCACATTTTGTGATCTGAGCTGGATGGAAGGCCCTTCTGTAGCAGTGCACTGAATCAGATTGCCTGATACAACCTTTCAACTCTATGGCTCACTTCTATACACACTGAGTTTCCCCTACTCTGTACATAGATACCAGGCTCTCTACGTGTACAAGAGCTGTCGGACTAAAGCCATGACATGTCAAACTAAAATACAATGGATCAGACAGATACTGATATCTTTCCAAAAGCAAATCAAATATACACAATCTGAAAGGAATAAACCTAGAAAGAATAGCGTGCTGCCGAATATATTACCATAAATTACCTTTCGAGTCCTCTAATTTTTCAGTCACTCTTTCTTTGCATGACAGCTTTTCAATTGGTTTAATTATGTTTTCTTCTTCAGAAGAAGCAGCAAAGCAAATGGAGGAGGGAAAAGGGTGAAAAGAAATGCTTTAGGGAAACAGAACGAAGGGATGAAATGTACGCAAGGCTAAAAAGAGAGAGAAAAATAAATATGGAAATATAGCACATGTCAACGAGCTTCAAGGGGATTCCACAATCATTCCTCATTGAATCTGAAAAGTTGGGTCTGGTCCACAAAAGGTTATGCTGGAATCAAATTTTGCTAAGACTCCCCCTTATTTTTAATGCGACAGATTAACACGGCTACCATGCCGGATTCTGATGCCTCTGTAATTTCATTACGTTTGTTCACGCTAAAAGAATCATCTGCAAAGAAAGCTAGACTGGTGACCGCCTAACGTACTACCAAGATCCAAGCAAGCAATGTAGAATGTAGTTTAAATCTGATAAGACTTTAATCATAAAATAGCAAACAGAACGCTGCAAGACTGAATTGCCTTTATTAATCTGCAGACCCGACTCTCCCCAAATGTCCCCCAGAGATACCTGCACTCCTCTCAACAGCATCTTCTGGTGGTCCCCAGCCCCAAAGACGTCCATTTAGCCTTTTCAGCCCTAGCTCCGGCCTGGTGGAACACTCTTCCAGTTGCGATCCGGGCCCTGCGGGATCTCTTAGAATTCTGCAGGGCCTGTGAAACTGAGCTGTTCCACCAGGCCTTTGCTTGTGGTGGTGGATGTCCATGCATAATGGCCTCTCCTGCCCCCCCCCCCACAACCTCGCTTTCCCCCCCATATGGAGATAAGTTATAGATGGCCAATATCTACTGCCTAACCCTTGATCCACCTGGCATACATAAGGGTTCAACTGGGATTTCCTGGAAATTACCATCATGAGAATGTTTGTTGTCTTAGTATTGTGTTGTGATTTTACTTGATTTATTGGAGCTGTGTTTTAACTGTTTTATTTGGTTGTAACCCACCCTGATAGAAGTATAATAAAATAAATAAATGAAAATAATCCTAGAAAGAGAATCCTAACACATAAATATTAGAATTTATGGGCCTCTGTTTTTTTACAAACATTCTAAAACACAGTAAGTAATAATATCATTTTTATTGTATTAGTTTGTGGAAATCTAATATCAACACTCAAATAGCCTGAAGTGGACATCTAGGTAAATCAGCACTTCCTTCTTCTGGAGCATATTCAGAGTCTGAAGGCATTCGTAAACTGCATTTTATGGATGTCTTGTTTACGTGATAGTTCAACACAAATATTCAATCAATCAATTAATTAAATCTAACCCCATACAGAGTCATCATCTATATTCCAAAAGAGCCAGAAAATAAGAACAGGGCCTCTCTTGGACACAAAAACTTTACTGTCCCATTTCATAATGAAATTTGTGACTGTAAGCACAAACAGTTTGGTAGATTATCAAAGTTCTTGTTTCAAGTGAACGAGTATAGCAGTATAGCTACAGAGTTTGAACCGGGGAGGAAAAAACCTTGATGACTTTTGTCCAGAGAGAAACAGAATGCAAGTCGGCCACTCCCCTTCAATTCTGCTAGTTCAATACTTAAATTATTATTATTGGCATCATCTTTTATTTTAAACAACGAAGGCTTTTGGTTTCTTTTGCTAAAGGTCTTGTTCCGTTCACTATTACAGGCTAACCCGACGAAAGAGAGTGAGGTCAATTGCTTAAATCAAAGCAGTGATTTACACAGGATTAGGGCGAAAAAACCTTCCTGGCAGTGTTTCAGCTTTAGATTTAGCATGGACACCCTCCACTCCACAAAATGAGATTTAATTTCTTTATGCCGTTTAGAATTCTAAAAACCAAGCCGGGTTTAAAAGAGAGACAGCAAGAGAGCTCAATGACTGTATTTCCAATAGACACATATTGCACACCTGCTTTATAATGCACATTCAGATATTAGGTCTCTGACAAGGCCCCTTTTAAACGTCCTGTTTTCATCTACATGGCTATACCAATATAAATGTGCACCTTCAACCACAGCCTCTGGCTGCATGAATGTTTTTTGCAAACATTTATACCGGAATCAGGGCCATAATTTAAAGTAATGCAAACTAACTATGAAGCAACATTGTTTGGGACCAAAGGCTTCTTCCCTGAGAGAAAGGGCACTTCTGCTCCTGGGGTGGGGGGAAAGAAGAAACATTCACGCTGTTTAATCCTACCAGGTCCCTAAGAACCGTTCTTTGAGGAGCACAGTGGGCTGCAATGAGAAAGGAAAGGCTGGAAACTTTTGTTCAAGGGGCGTTCTACTCACAGGCCTTTGGACGTAACCCAGTATGTTTGGAAATAACTTGCACTACCCGCACGTTTAATTCCCTGCACTGTTCATTACCTGCACTGACTCGGCTGAACGACAGACCTCCAACAGGTGCGAGCGGTTTTGAAAACACAGAATTGTTCCAGGTTCCATGGCATCCTTCTTTATTGGCTGCTCCTGAGGAGACATTCTTAGGGTTTACACCTTAGAGAAACAATTATTTTTAAAAAGTTAACGTACAACTTTGAAGTCAGAACACAGCCAATTACCAAAGGCAGTTTTAAGTGCTTGTGCAAAGTATTACGCAAAAGTATTACTTATAACGTGAGCTACTTAAACTTAATGGGTTGGGTTCCAGATTAAAAACGGACATTTTCTCTAACTCCCCTTTCCTGCTGCAGACCAGTCTTATGATATTTCCCCCAGGAGTAGCATCTCACAGTGATCTGTGGACTGCAGTGGGAAGAGGGACGCAGGAAAGTCCAATTCTGCCTAGAGATGTGAAGGCCCAGAAAAAAACTGGAAAAATTCGGGAAAAAACCAGTCTTTTCCCATTTTTTTCCTGAAGCCTTTTTTGTTTTTTTCCGAAAAATTGAAAAAATAAAATTGAAAAAATTGACTATGGAACGTTTTATTTTAACATGATGAATAAAATATTTTAAGACAAGGTGTGCAAATATTTTCCAAATCATTTATATATGGTATCAGATTGATCTAATTTCTGTGCACTGAGGACAAGCAAGTCCTAGGTTACAAACTGAACTCTCCAATGCAAGAACAAGATGCATTTCTTCCTT